GTGGTGGGCAGAGCACAGATAGCCCATCGCGTAGTTTTGTGCGTAAATTCAAACAAAACAAAGCCCAGTTGTAATTAAATAATTCTGTGTCGTTTGGAATCAAAACATTCATTTTTTTTCTTATAGCAATTTTTTGTTATGTTTTGAAAATCTGATTAACACCTAAAGAGTAACATTTCTCACGTGGAAGGCCTACAGACTAAACTCGGCTGAACCTAAACCAGTTTATATCCAGCTGTTGGGTCAATTGCACATCAAGTTATATTCGAGAGAAAATAACCCCACAAAAATCGACGAACAAATTTGAAAAGTTAGGGCATATGTAAACCTTACCCTTACGCAGATATATTCGCCACTCTGTAAAAGGTAGTTAGTTGTCAGTTTCGGATCCCAATCTTCCATTGTTGGTACGGTCGTGACAGGAAGACGCAGAAGGCTGACTGTCTCACGTCTTTCACGATGGCGGCCCACCCACTGCGAGTAGAAAGGCAACGAAGAACGTGTACTGGATCAGCCGATTGGCTGACTTAAGCGGGCACGTGGATCGGTTCTCAAAGAAAAGGCTGATTGGTGTTCTAAATGAGTGAAAATCCTGGCTTGCAGCGATTGATAAGCGAACTCGGTACAGAGAACAGACAGGCGAAGTTCACTTTACTCCGGTTGCATCTCAGAAGAACTAAGTTATAGAGAAATGTTAAACCACCTGCATAGCTCCACAACTCCCATAGGTAAGGCCTGCGAAGCATCCCAACACATATCACTAGAAAAGAGAATTAATTGAGTTATTTGACTCTTTCATTAGGCAGTTCTCGTTTTATAGGTTTGCCTCTGATTAAATTTGTTGAACGGGGATTAACTTGCTCACTCTCGGTCTGTTCTATGCATTCTCCTAAACGTGATTTGTCAAGTCAACCCACTACGTGCTCTCGCGCACCTCTGAGGCTAGCTCCTACAATTGCCTTTGTATTCTTATTTTCTTACAGTAAATTAAATCAAAAATTTTCTGCTGACCCTCCTTAGACGTTTCTTGTCCTGTTGGTAATTCTCTCCTGTCTGGAAAAAAAATATCCTAAGCCTCTGAAACAAGTATTCTGAGTTTCTCACCCGGGGTCTTGTTGCGATAGTAATAACGGTTCGCAGATTAATAAGAGGCACTTAGAGCGAAACGCAAATTAAAACTAATGATACTTAAATTAACTCGCAGTATTAGGCCATGCTCGGTAACTCCTTCTTTTTCAGTGACGAAGGACGACGGAACAGGAGAAAGTCTTAAGCCTAATGGAAGGGTGGATCACCTTTACACACCCGGTGGATCCACCCTCCAAGTGTTGGAGTCTACTGGTATCCAGGGGCGACCCATGATCATCCCATGCAGCGGAAGTGGCGGCAGCTCAGGCCAAGCTCCGGGTTCTGATGCAGACAAGCCTCTCAAGCAGAAGCGGCACCGGACCCGGTTCACTCCTACCCAGCTTCAGGAACTAGAGCGAAGCTTCTCCAAGACCCATTATCCAGATATCTTTATGAGGGAAGAACTAGCCATGAGAATTGGACTCACAGAATCTCGTGTACAGGTATGTTTGTTTTATCTATTCTATGAAGTAAATAATAACAAATCATAGGTGATGTCTCTGTTTTATAGCTTACGTTTTCAACAGACGTCTCTCATGTTCAAATGTTTTTTTAAAGGAAATCTA